GAAAAAACTTATAAAATAAATAAGAACCAAAATAACAAAGTAGGATGGGGTGAAGAAGGAAAAATTCTTTTTGAAAAAATACTGTAGATACGTTACAAAAAAAGCAAAAAAAACCTAAAAAGAATGTACAAAGTTTTAGACTTCCATCTGCTTCATGCCATAAGCAATAAATGACCGTTTATGAAAGAGTAAAATCCAAAGCACAGAAAGAAGAGGAAAAACAATGAATACGCATCAAAAAAGAGTTAAAGTTTGCGACAAGAGGGTAAATTATCGCAGATAATCTTCTTCCTTCATGTCATCAGACGGCTACTGATCCCAACAACATCTAACAGGTGCTTAGCTAAAGTAGACTTAAGTAAACGAAAAAATAAATTGCAAAAAGCTTCATCTCCCAAACCCTATCCACCGCACCTTTTCTCCAAATGATGCTACTTATCGACAGAAAATATCCAGATTGCCTTACTTTGCACATTCCGGAACCATTGTCCACAACAAGGGCCGCAACTTCTTCGTCGCACATTGTTACTTAGTTACAACAGTAGCTTTTGTTGTTGTTGTTGTTGTCAGGACGGGTTGAGTACAGATCGGAGATGAAACAACCGAGCGATGCTACCAAGTGATCTGATGCTCCACACCAGTCGGCTTATATACGGCACGCAACACGTCGGCGGGGGATACGTGCGCTGCGTTCCCCGTACTGTTTCGATGATACAGCGAGAAGACCGGGCGAAGGAAAGCACGCTTCTTTGGGTTGGTGCTGGCATCTGTTTAGCAGCTAAACGAGGGCTAATGGTTAATGAATGGCGAAAAAAAAAAGAAAAAAAAAAAAGAAAAGAACTTTTACGAGAACAGCACAGATATCTGTATTCTTGGAATTCCTCAGCACTGCTGGCAACACCAGCAACAGCAACGGCAACAGCGGCAGGAGTAGCACCAATAACAATAACAATAACAACAACAACAATAACAACAACGACGGTAACAACTGCAGCAACAGCGTAAGCATATTTCAAGCTATTTCGATAATGATAATGAGTGCAAATATGATTTGTTGATCAGACGGTAAAGTTAGTCTTAATCATCCATGGTTGGATGCTATTGGATAGTCGGTAGATACGGACGCATAAAACTGTCGACAAATAGATCAACAGTGCTTCACTTTTAAATTTCAAAGGAAAAAAAATTTAAAAGAAGAAATGACATCTAGTAAAAGTGGCATTATTGTCAATATTATTGTTCAGATTTTTCAAAAAACAATAATAAGAAAAAAATGAGAACAGTTACAGTATTTAATAACAGTTACAAATAACTGTATTCAGTAATCACCACTAATAACAGTGATTTATCCTGCTTTGATTTCTATATAACAAACTTTCTAATTTATGTGGTAATTTCAGTTAATCGATAAACCAGGAATAATAATAACACAAAACTGATAAACCAAAAAGAAAAAACAACCTACAGTCATATTGCTAAAAGAAAGTTTTCTTCGTAATTACAAATCCTTTTTTTTTGTAATTTTTACAAAAAATAAATAAGCAAACAAAAAATAAAAAAAAAAAGTATGAACAAGTAGTTGGTGACTGTTGAGAAGAAACTGAATTACCTAAGTTATTTATTTATTTATCTGTTTAATTTTTGCTGAGAAAAAGTTAGTAAGTTTGTCAAAAGATATCACTGTCAACAGTTTTATTCATCAACAGTTGTTGTTCAGTGCTCGGTAATACCATATCCACTGCTTCAAATATCACATACACAGCAACCGTTACAACCAATTATCGTTGGCTCATGCATGCCATATTTACCAATCGGCGTCGCCGATCAACCAGTCCATATTACGGTACAATCTATCGACGATCAGAACACTGTAGTTATTATTATTATTATTATTATTATTATTATTATT